ACACGGGCGCCTTTACTCCCGTAACTCGCTCCGCCTACTTCAACGGCACTGTTCAAATGAGGAAAGCTGCTCCAGGACGTGGCCTCGCTTGTGAAATTCAGACCCAAATTCTCTAGAAACAAGAGCCATCAGGACTTGCGGTAAAGGTGATATCTTTTATTAGATCAACTAGATTTTTGCAAAAAAAAAAATTCTTTCATTGCAAGCTTTCGTGCACAAATGCCCGAAAGCTTGCAATTAAATTTTTTTTTTTTTTGCAAAAATGTAGTGCAAACTTTTTTTTTGCAAAAATTTAGCACATCTTTTTTTGCAAAAAGTTTTTGCAAATTGACCACGAGTCCCGATTGCTTTTTGTCTCTAGACCAATATGGCTACAATCTGGATACTTGAAAAAAGCAGAATGTGTCGAAACAAGTGTGACAATGTTACTGGTGGGTGACAAGGTTATTAGCTGGAAGACGGTATAAAGGGAATCCCATTTTAAGCGACTGCTAAGAAAGGTGGGGGGAAAGGACCCTGCTGATTTCTTCATGTCATTGCCTCTGGCATTTTGCGGGAGATTTTCCCTTCTGCAGACAGGAAGCAGCAATGCAGACGCGTTTCTAGACTGGTTACGCCTCTGCCAGGACGCAATGAAGGCCGCTAATTCAGAGCCGCAGCATGCCAAGACACTCGAAACAAAGAGGGGATTTAGAAAACAAATGAAAAGGGATATTATAATGAGATAATAAAATTAAGATCATAAAAGTTATTTCCTGGGAAATAACGTCACGTCCTACTGCATGCACTTGTGTTGCACGTTGCATTCGATTGCTACCGGGGCTACAATGAAGTAGCGGTTGAGTACCGCGCTGCACTTCACCGGCATAAATCCCTGAGCTTCTAAGATTTCGGATATGCCAGCTATTCAAACATGTGACAAGTGAAGGCCCGTGTCAGCCACGACAGGCTTCGGGCCCGCTTCTTTCAGCAACCCCGCGTTTCTCCAGCACAGATCCTGGAGCCGGGCGCGCGAGCGGAAAGTTTCTCAGGAAGCCCCGAGTGAAAGACGGCATCGTATGTCAGGCGGTGATGAGGTGCCAAGAGGAACCTGTCAGGAGCAGCACAAAGGGATGGCAAATATCTTCCCCTGAGCTCCTCCAGCTTTTCCGCAGCTTGTCAGGAGCTCGGTGCGTTGGTTCCTTAATTGACCACCTTCGATACGCTGCAAAAACCGGCTCTCGGACCTGCCGCTCAGGAGGTTGTTGGGTAAAGGTGGAGAAAGCAAACGGATTGAAAAGAGGAGACATGCAATCCAGAGGCAGGGCGGGGGATTTTGTGAACCCCAGAAGAGATGGGTTGGGGTTTGCAAGACAGCGAGCTGTTGCAAGACAGCTTGGGGTCAAAGTTTTCACTGAATTTAAACGAGGAGTTTCCTATCCCTCTGCAGCGATTCCAACAAACCACTGGTGAAAGTGGGTTTATTCCAAGCACAGGAAAACACCCACCCCTCCAACAAGTGGGACGGGACGGACTGACACATGGCATGGACCATTTTCAAACACAGGTACTCCAAGTTCGGGTCTGGCCCAGGGGACCTAATTCCCAGAGGTGCCGAGAAACAGCAGCTTCACTTGATCTGAGCAGGGGACTGGGAGCCAGGACTCTTGGCTCCCATTGCCAGCTTTGACTTCAGGGTGATGGGCACATCTGGAATGCAATCAAGTGCCTAGCAATACACTGCATACGTCTAAATGGCGTGTCATGATGCTTGTCCCTCTGGACCGTCTCCGTTTTCACCCTGTTTCTTCAGGACATTCCTGCCCCCACTTCTGTAACTCTTTCCTAAGCAGAATTGGATCCCGGTTCGCATGGCCATGTTCTTCCACCCAGCCCCGGCTTCCTTCCTGCAATGCTGAGCGGCAGAGAAAGTCTCCCAAGAACAGCCAAGACACAAGTTGGGAAACAGAGACTCTGTTTTGGACTCTGTTTCTGCCCAGGGTCCCCCTCAGCAGGCCACAGCGTCACTTCCCCCGGATCGTCTCCAGCTGGAAAATTCCTGCCAGCTCCGACGAGCTCTTGCTGCAAGCGAAGTGGAAAATGTTGGGCAGTGACCAACACCCTCCGTGGGACACTCAAATGAATCCAGAGCACAGAGCCACGTGAAGGGAAGCGCTATTGCAAAATATCTGGGGGGAAGAGGGAGGAAACCTGATCTCCCAGCTGGAGTGGCATTGCTTCCAGCTACACGATGCTGGGCAAGCCTGGCGAGGTGCGACAGGTGCCATTTGAACCGACCCAGGGATTTTAGAGCTAAAAAGCAGGGTGCTACAGCTTGAGGCAGGCTACAGAGGACATCGCAGATGGCGGAGGTGGCACCCAATGGTGTGCAGACGGGGACATGGCGCATGGTGTACGCGGGGGAATGACGCAGGGATCCCCGGAGCTAGGTCTGGGTGTATTCACTCTGCAAAAGAAAGCGGCAGAGCCGTGTTAGTGCATTTGGGCTGATGAGGCCTGTTTGCCTTGAAGGGATCATTAGCTGGGAAGCCGCATTGCCCCGACGTGCCCAGGGTGCTTTCAGTTCTGCATCTTGGGGTCTCTCTGCACGGGGCCACAATGACCCATGGGTTGTGCATCCCATCATATCTACTGCCAATGGGCTGCCTGGGAGGTTTAATTACTGCAAAAGTGATTAAATGCCATGCGTGAAGGGGAGGAAGGGGGCAGGGGTGGCACGCCTGGGTACAGACAGCCCCGTGTGTGGCAGCCTGATAGACACCGGGGCGTTTGCTGAACTGCAAAAAAGAAAGAAAAGAGGCAAACGGGCCTGGGTTATTTCCTTCTTCTCAGGCTCCCCAAGCTGTTCATATATATCACTGTCACTCAACGCGCCAGGTCCGTGTCTGCTGAAAGAGCTAACCGGTGTGTAACCGTGTCTCTCACCACCATCACAGCCAACACTCGCGTCCGACGCAGGAGTATGTATGCCCTCTCCTCATTTGTTTTCTAAACCTGAGAACACTTTTGCTTTGAAAACCTTAGGGATCCCCTGCCTCGGAAACCGAGGGCTCTTCTCTCATCTCCGTGCCGTCGCTGTCTCTTGCCCTGCGAGCCCTCGCCCGGGCGAGCTCTCCCCAGGCAAATGCAGAGCCATCGAAACCACCAGCCTCCGCTCCACCCGCCGCGTCTTTCCTGAATGCCGTGCGCTGGTGCTGCCGACGGTTTTAACCTTTGCTGTCCTCTTGCTGAGGGATAAGCGTACCTAATGCAGATTAAATGAAATTCCAGCGCGCAAGAACTTTTGAGGGGTAAATAAAAAACCAGAGCCAAGGAGAGATGGGTTATGTCACTGCTGAAAAATCTAAGAGGCGCCTAAATGCAAATCCCACAAAGAAGGAAAACAGGGAGGTTGGGGGGAGCCACGGGGAGAGGACAAGAGGACGCAGGGGAAAGGTCTGCAGCGCAGCATGCAGGAGGAACCCATTAGCAGTCTGGCAAGCGGAGCGGGTGAGCGGGGCCGAGAGACTTGATTTCAAGTCCTGACTGCCACTGACTCTTCACGCCACCTTGACGCTGTCACTTAACCCCCGGGCCGCAGTTTCCACATTTGCCTTTTACACGTAAGGATGCTTACCCACCCTGTGAGATCGGGGGAGTAGAAAGCAGTAGCGATATAAAGTCCAAATGTTTTTTACTATGATTATTGCCGAGAAAAAAACCCACCCTAAATCAAGCGCCTCCAGGACTGACATGTAACCTCTTTCCAGCTGCAGACACTTCATTTCATTTTAAATAGCGATCCCTTATGGACATGGACATGCACTCCTGGTACACCTTACCAAAAATATTTGGGTCAAAGGCCTCTCTCCTCCCTAACACAAGCACAACTCTCGAGTCATCCATTAGCAACGCATGTTGCTCATCTATTTTCTTTTGCCAGAAGCTGGACAAGCTGCAATGCTATTTTTAAAAGAGATTCAAACAGAGCATTCGGCTATTTTTTTCTCCCCTGCAAATATGCAATAAATCCACAGCAAATACCGTATGTTCCTTGTAGGATCCGGGATCCACACCAGCACAGGTACTTAAGGATCCTCTAACAAGTTTCCTAAGAGCAAGGTCCATCAATCCTGGCAATTCCAGTTTGGATCATCATAATCTACTTAACTCCACAAAACTTTCCCCTCTAGCTCCAGCTGGAGAAAGCATCTTCCTCACTTCTATCCTAAAGCACCATGCAGATATACTATCAGTGAAGCAGCTCATAGCTCTTCGAAAGAAAAAGGCAGAATAGGAAATGCAGCAGCATCAGGAAAAAGAAAATCCAAGTATCACAGAACTCCGAAACAGCGTCCCCAATATTTTACCCCCTTTTATTTCCTCTTTTTTTGCTCCGTCATACCTTTCACCATTAGTTCTCCAAACACTTTATGAATAGGTTCAGGGATCAGCAGAAGCATTTTATGGATGGCGATCAGGCCAAGGGCCACAGAGGTTAAGTGACTTTCCCAAATCCATAGTGAGTTAATAGCGGCAAATTTAATATCCTTACACCAGCTCCACATTGGAGAGTATTGCAGTCATTCACAAGCGCATTGCAGTCCAAAGGGAACGAACAGTCAGCTTCCTGCTGCCTGCACGTGGTTAGCAATGCAGCTACCTCGAACCGTTAGCAAATGCAGCTACATCCAACCTTGTGCTTACTGGTATTTCATGGGTTCGTGTTCAGCTACATGTACAATGGGGACATGCAATCTATACACATTTAGTCTCATCCATTTGCAGAGGTACAGCTTATCTGACATCCTCCAATGAAAGGTCTTTTATATAGGGGCAAGGTGCCATCCTCTTTCTCATGTTTAGCCACCAAGAACTGCAAGAGTGGCTGCAACACGACAGCGCACGCCTGCAGCTGGAGCTTTCTACCCGAGCCGTGCAATAGGTTGCCCATGCTCTTGATTCCTGTTATTCCTCCTGACAAGGAGCGTGCTCATATGCCCAAGCCCAGAAATACGTACCTGGAAAGCAGCAAACCACATCAGCCAGTCCAGACGATAGTGGTAGGGTGTTATGAGGCACGGCCTCCTCTTTAAATCCCCGGGTTTGCATTTAAACTCGTATTCCTCCCAAACAGCGGTGGGATCATTAGGGTTTAAGCTGGATGTGCCTTGAATGATGACCTCTGTCCTCTCTTTAGTGATGCTGCGAGGGGGGGATAAAATATTGCATCGTTAGCTTCCAGGATGCTGGCTACGGACAACGAACTCTCCTATTAACCTGCAAATGTCTTTGAACCTCTAAGATGTAGTGCAGCGTGACATCAATTTAAGGTCTGATTGGGATGACCTTTCCACAGCCCCCATTAACACAGAACCTCTAGGGCCACACTGTTCGGCCCATTTTACAGCTGGAGAACTGAGGCATGGAAAGACTGAAGGATCTGGGAAGGTATTTTGGTGCCTAACCCCCATGGATATCCCTGGGTGTTAGGAGCCTCGATGTCTAAGCAACTTGCCCAAGGGAGCTGGTGGCAAAACAGGGACGTGAATGCAGATCTCCCAGACCCTTGCACTGACCCCAAGGCTGACCTCTTTCCCCCTCAGCTTGGTGCCCAGCCAGCACCTTTACTCCAGCCCTATCCCATGGTGCGAGAGGCTTAGTTCTGTCATCACGCGGCTCTCACCTTTGCACGAGAAGGGAGCTGGGGCCAGCCACAAAACACATCAATGCTGGCCCAGGCTTTTTGCAACGTGCTGCACGCAGAGCTGGGCACGTGGTGTTTGCACACGCGGCTGCCTTCCTGGCATATACTCTGCCTGCCAAGCCCAGCAGAGCGGCTGGTTGCAGAGCACAGGAGCTCCAGCGCGGTCTCGGCTATGGCAAGGGGCAGGGGATGCAGACAGCAAGTCCTGGTGAACGGGTTGCATCGGCTCCAGCATTTGGCAGCCAGTTGGTATACACAAGACGGGCCTCATAGGGAGCACCCCGTAGCACGGGACGCCCGAGGCACCATTAACAGCTGTCTGCAAGCACCCAGGCACTGCACCATCCCGGCTGGAAGAGAAGCTCCCCCAAGCTAGGAGAGGGCAGGGTACGAGCACTGCAAGCCAAGCCGAGGGAAACAGGGAAGGAAAACTAAATGACCATGCCTAGCAGAGGTATATCAACCAGGTTAAAACTATTCCCCACCTTACAGCAGCCCCGGGGCCTTCCAGATTTTGAACCCCATAGCGTGCAAACTTTCTGGGCTACAAGGAGCCACCCCACTGCACGACGTCCTTGTCACAACCCAGTTGGCAAAGGCCAGCAGCGCTCTGTTTTCCACGACGTGTGCCTAACAGCAGCGCTCGGCCTCGCGCACCCCGCCAGCTCCCCCCGCGGTTCCTCTGCTATTTTGGTCTTTCCTCTTTCAACCCAAGACACCGAGAGCTTGGACAGGCAACCCCCTTCCTTCCCACCCTCCCCGCTTTCCAGCAAGAGTCGCTTGCAAGTAACGGAGTCCTATACATCTCCGCTTATAATTGTTACCTACGTTTAATAGACTCCTGGACTCTTCAGCCAAGTTCCATATTATACGCTGGGCTGAGTTATGAGCCATGGCGCACTGCCCAATGCTTAGAAACACACTGTAAATCAGGGACACCAAATTACTAATAAAAGTATGTTCCTACTGTGTGATTCAAAATATGTCAAGTTTCACATAATCGTATATTCATTATGAGCTGCAATCCTCTTTTTATTGGTTTACATAGGCTGGAATTACAAACATATTACAGCAGCATTTCATCACATGCTTTTTAGGTTCTGGTGACTGTTGAAACAGAAACCGTCGACCGAAGAAGGAAAAAAGAAAACCAAGCACCCAAAGAAAACAAACTTCCACCGTGCCAAAGAGTCGAGCGAGCGGCAGAGGTGCAAGGGTGATGTCTTTGCCCCCAAAATAAACACGATGTTGCCCGATGTTTGCCCCATTTTTTTGATCGTGTTTGCCGGGAGAGGTCAAAGAGAAATTCCTGCCTCTATGAAAAGTGGGAAAATATCGTTTCGTACCGGTGGGTTGCTCTACTGCTCACGGCACGACCTGCCTTCGAAAGCGCCTCGAGGTTTTGTAACCTGGACCTAACGCCCCTGGGTGATTTCATCCCGTACCAGCTGAGCCCAAATCTTCGGGATAACCACTCTCACCTTGCCCATTGGATAAGAGGAGTCTGATCTGTAGACAGATGAAGTCAGTGCGAGCCGTTCCCATCCTTTGGCTCAAGGCTTTAGAGAGCGTCTCAGGGTCCTTGCACCGAGCAGGAGCAGAGGCCTCACTTAGAGGAACGTCGCTGTGTCTACACAGGAGCACGTTTTGGGGTGAACCGGTTTCAGCAGGCTCCTCTCAGCCCATCCAGCAAGGTTGGGGTTCAGGGGTCCCACCATCTGCGCTGCCCACCGCTCCCAAGAGGAACGGTGCACGTACCTGGCCAGGTGCCCACCCCCTTCCAGCATCCACGAGAGACGGATGCTAATTTGGGAACAACTCGATCATCGATCCAGACGCATTAAAAGCAGCTGCTCGGATATCAAAATAAAGGATGTGCAGCCAGCACCGACACAGGCCCTCTTTGATATCAGCTGGAACTGGCTGGAAGCACAAAACGTGTGGGACACGATGTTTATAAACCACAACGCTGTTTGTTCTGTGGGCGCTTCCCAGCCCTTCCTCCTCCCTTTTGTTTGCCGGGTCTCTTTGGACGGCCAGCTCCCGAGGGCAGGGACGGCCGATGCCTCGGTGTTTGCTCTGCGCCAAGCACAAGGAGGCCTTGTTCTCAGCGGGTCCTGGGGCAACAACAATGATGATGATGGAGGATGTGCCGAGTCTTCTCCTCCCCTACCGCCCTGCTTGGAAAACCAGCTACTGCCAATGATTATGTGCAGGAATTGGCTCCTTCTAGATACATGACAAGCATTAGCTGGATGCTTGCAGTGGATAGAGAGAGTGAGCACATACACATGTGTGGCAGCCTGTAGGCAAGACCCATGGACAGGTAAAATGCACAGACTCAATGACAGGCTGTCCATGCCCCATCCCGTGTTTATGCTTGCAACTTTTTGTGCTTCTGAGGAACATCTGCAAGCAAACTATAGTGCAGCACACAAAAACAGGAGATGGGATTTGGGGATCCTTGCCTTCATCCCGTTCTTCCCCAATAAACAGCTACTAGAAGGATTTTTTTTTTTTAAATATAAGACAAAAAACCACTATCCACTTCATGACTTTGAATGGCAAGAATAAAGCAGACCAAAACCTGATGATCTGTCAGGTCCCTCCCAGCCCCTAACGACTCGGAGGCTACGAAACGACAAGCAGGATGCCGTGATTAAGGGAACCGGTACCTTCCAAAAGCCCCGTATGTGTTGACTATCCGGAGCGGGTTGAAGGAGGTGTTCATGACTTGTCTGGAGTTGAGCAGGTTCAGGATGACGGGGATGCTGAGGTAGGCGATCAAGACCCCGAACGAGGCGTTCACTGCTTTGCGGATGCAGCAGCCTAGGTAGGAGACAAACCACGTCAGAAAGCAAGCGGCGTCGCCACTCAGGGCTCCCCGATCCCAATTTAGCGTCTGCCTCCGAGGAGGCTTTTCTCCTCGCTGCCCCATCACCCCAGCAGCTCTTCCCAGGGACAGCTTGCTTCGGCTCCTGTGTCAAGCGGAGGCTGGAGACCTCGTATGCACCCAGCAAAGGGACCTTGCCAGGGACCACGTCATATCACTCATGAGATCTGTCTCTCTCCAACTAGTCTGAGAAGGGGCTTAAAACAAAAATGCCTAAAATGTCAGGGCTTTAGTATAGGGAAGAGGTGGGGGAGACGGCAGGGACTAGGGCTCCAAACCATTCTCCTTCTTTAAAACCCTCCGGGGACTTTCTAGAGACCTTCCAGGCCTTATCTGGGCCTCCCTGCCGGAGCAACGACCTGCTTCTCTCCAGCCCTCCTTTGCATCGCCCCGCTGCTTCCATTCGACCGCTCTTTTTGACTCTCATCCCATCCCTTAGCCTCCCTTCGTGTCACCCTCTCCTGCAGCTAAGTCCTTATCATTTCCACATGACAGCACGGTTATTTTACGTTGGAAAACGCTCTGGACTGCGGTTTGGATGAAACGCCCTCTGCAAGACGCAGCCGAGCTGGCCTGAATCACGTGGCGCTGGGGCCTCAAAGAGGATCTCATCCCCAGCGAGTCAATAAGCAAATGCGGCCCCTGAGGCAGGGTTTCTTGGTGCTGACAGGCATTTTTAGTTTGTCGAAACGTTCAGAGCGACGGGAATCGATGCGAAGGGACTGCACATCGCTTGCCTCTTATCTTGGCGGGAGAAGGGTGTTTATTTGAACCTTTCAAATGCTACGAATAACTGTTTAGTCTGCAACGAGCTCTTTTGGAGAGTTGCTGCATTTGGAAGGAAGCTCTGGCGGGTTATCTAACCTCGCCCCCCCTGCATCGCCGACGGGCAAAGCAATACATAAGTGGCCCGGGGGATTTGTTTGTCCTTCCCATGACCTGAACTGTTTAGCCTGTAAGCGGTGCGGGGGGGGAAATCAGGTCCAAAATGCATGCAAATACATCCTACAGGTAGTCGAGCAAGTGTCTGGGTTCCCTCCGCGGCATGGTTAGGCTCTAAGTCTGCAAACGGTTTCTCCCCCAACTTCTATGATGCTACTTGGGGGACTGAGTGAATTTGAAGGGGGGATCAATATTAAGGAGTCTTGGATTGCCCATTCTCCAGATGGGATGAATGCACCTCAAGGAGTTTTGCTCCACAGCCCCCACCCTGGGCCAAAATAAAGCACTTCTTGAGAAGTTCATTGGCACTTTGCAGATTAAGAATGGATTGAAGCATTAGGACCGAGGACCGAATCTGTAGTCAAGTCGGTGACTTTTTTGGTCCAGCAAACCTCAAACTTTGGCTCAAGGAGACCTTTGCCAGGGAGAGGACCTGGGATGGGTTGGGAAGGCGAGGCACAAGAGGACTTCCCTCGTTCTTCAAGCAGCCCATAGTAAACTCCCCCTTTTTGGCCTTTCTCCCACAAGCCAGGAGTCAATACGTTCAGGGTGCTGCTTGGGACCAAATGAAAAAATTGGGGATTTCTGGCAGGGCCAAGAGGAGAGCCCCACGGCTGTGATGCTGCAATAGGAGGGACCGTAGTTATTCAGATACTGAAATAAAGCTGGACCGTGAAGAAAGGGCAATGCCATTGAATTAGCAGCACTGACTCTAAACACTTCTGTTTAGTCAACGGTGCTACTTGGGCTGGGTTGGACTTGTACGGCGAGGACCGTAGGCCGGCGTTTTATCTTGTAAACGGGGTTGGGGGGGTTTTGTGGTCCTTCTGACAGATGTGGAATATATTTTAAAAAGTGCAGCTGTAATGGCTGTGGATATTACTTTCAGTTTGTTGCTTAAATGCTGTTTATAAAAAATACAAGGAAAAACAGCTCTCCATCTGCTATCCAGCCCCATGGAAAATAAATCAACCTTTGCTTGTGTGCCGTCAGCTCTCTTTGGGGATCTGAGATTTTTTTTAAATTGTAGAGGTGTACATTAGCCACATGCTTAATTAGGCCTTTTCTTCCCCCCCCTCCAGGTTAAACAAAACTTCTATTTACTTTTTCGTGCTAAAACTGCGGGGCCCAGGTATGTGCCCGGGGTGGACTGACAGCCAAGTCCTTCATGCATGAATAAACCCGGCGCTCTTGACAGAAGCTGGCAGCGACCGCTCCTAAAAGCAAGCCGGGAGGTTTCCATCCCCTGCCTGCTGCTTTCTTCCTTGGAGTTTGGCACCACGTTGAATTCAAGGAACAAAGTACTCTCGGCATAACTGCAGCTCCCGAAAGCAGTAACGCTCGGTCCTGACGCGAACGGGCAGCCTGCCACCATACGCACCCGTAGGTAAACTGTGCCCAACGCATCCCTGTTTGACTATGCTGTGGTCCAGTGGATATCGTTCTCGTACCCCTTTTAACAGGGACAATTAGCACATGTGTTGCCTCATTTGTGACGGAAGGAAAAGCCAAACCAACTCCACATTGGGGGGATTCGCTGTGAAGAGCCATAGGGGATGGATGGGGGCTTGGATGCCGAGGTCTGAGTACCCGCAGCTAAACCCAACCCAACCCAAAAGATCTCAAACCTTTGGCTGAAATCCCCGAACCATTCAAAGGCAATGAGAGTTTGGTCCGTGTCTTGCAATGGTGTCAAAATGGCCATCTACAGATTGCTTATTTGGGGCTGGATCTTGAGACCATTTCTCATGCTGCAGAGACCCTAAAAATGAATCCCACTGAAATCAAAGGCAGCAGGTGGTACCCAACATGAGGGAAGACATCGTGATCTTAGCTTTGGCGGGTGCATCCTTCCAAAAGCAGCTATAATCCATGTAACCCCTTGCCCCCTCCAGTCACTACTGTTTTTATGGAGCCAGCAAATGCCCCTGGGCTCATCGGTTTTTAGCGCGCAGACAAGAGCCACAGATCTTTTGGTCCACAGAGACAGCACAAGCACAAAGATACCTTTCCGGTTCATGTGCATGTGAGAAGACAGGGTTTTTTTCCTGACCGTGAAAAATGCATTGGGTGCACAGGGTTGTCATGCAGAGAGAAAATACTTGCCGTATCTCAAAGGACGCCTCTCTCCCGCTGCCCGCCTGGCTTGCATCTTCAGCACTCGGTCCTTCAGCCCTCCCTCTTTGGAGCTGAACAGGAAGGCCAAGGAGGCATCATCGAAGCAAGCAATGCTGGGCACGATGGTTAGCCAGTTGAGGAAGCTCAGGTTCCCACTTATAATGAGGAGCACCTAAATAGGAAGGAATAAAAGCATTGGGTGTTGGTAATTTTAGGCAGGGGGTGGGGGGATGCGCTGCAAGGAGGTGAGGCTTCCTGCTAGTCTGCAGGAGGAAAGGAAAGTGCCAGCTGCACAATGGCTTGTTCTCCCGGGGCAATGATAACCACACCTGAAGCGCCCGGTTTGGAGCGACACGACTCACAAAGGAGCTGAGAGTCGGAGGACGCCTGCTAAAGCTACAGAAAATGCACTGTGGTCCCCTGGAGAAGACATCCAAACACACTTGTTTCACTCCCGGCCACGGGTGGGATGCTAGAGACGGGACCGAGCAGCCCTTGGGCCAAAGCGGTTCTGTCCCTTTAAGCATACTGAAATGCAGAAGGCAGCAATTTCCTCGAATTATTATTTTTTAATTAATTTATAAGTCATCCCTCCCCCTCCTCAGCTGCTGTATGGGAAAGGTGGTACCTCTTGGACTAGGCAACTCATGTGCGCTCATGTGTTTCCAGGCAGGAGACCCGACTGCCCACACACAGTTCGGGAAGCAACACCCTCCGAGAGCTGCACAGACGTGTAAGCAACCGCTTTTCTGCGGTACAGGTGTGCACGCGTAGCAACAGTGCCCCTAGAAAGCATACTGCCATATCACACACCATTAATTGCCCTTCTTCACTTTTCTGAGCATCTACTCCTGTGCAAGTGAGGGATGAGTATAATCACGAGTCTTTTATAGACAACAAGAACCCCTCAGCGCCCTGAACACCGCCGCACGCCGCGTGACCCTGATGTCCTGCTCGCTGCGTCTCAATTCTGGGTATCTGTCTCCAAAATGAAGGTTTCAGAAACCTGTCCAGAGAAAAAGTGGGAGCTTCTATACAACCCATATACATATACATGTATGTATATACACACACATACAAGTGTGTATGTGCGTGTGTGTATGTATATGTGTGTGTATACACACACACACACACATTAGTACGTATGTGTATATATACATGTGTGTAAATACAAACACATATACACACATTTGTGTGTGTATATATACACACATATACACTTGCATACATATATACACATAGATATATAGATACATACACATATAGACATATACACATGCATATACAGATACACACACACATATATATAGATACACACATACACACAAATAGATAGATACACACATATATATAGATACACACATGTATACACATACACACATGTATATACATATAGATATACACACATACACACACGTATATAGATACACACATACACACACACATATAGATACACACATACACACACATATATAGATATAGATACACACACACAAATATATAGATACACACATACACACACACATATATAGATATAGATACACACACATACACACAAATATATAGATACACACACATATACACACACACACATATAGATATAGATACACACACACAAATATATAGATACACACATACACACACATACACACAAATATATAGATACACACACATATACACACACACACATATAGATATAGATACACACACATACACACAAATATATAGATACACACACATATACACACAAATATATAGACACACACATACACACACAAATATATAGATACACACATACACACACATATATAGATACACACGCATATACACACATACACATACAAATATATAGATAGATACACACATACACACACATATATACAGATACACACATACACACACACACATATATATAGATACACACACACATACACACACAAATATATAGATACACACACATACACACATACACACAAATATATACACACATACACACACAAATATATAGATACACACACATACA